GCCGCGGTCCCCAGCCCCGGGTTTTGTAGCTGCGAGAAGCATCTGTAGCGGGGATTAGTTTATGAAATGTTTGTGCTGTAGTCATCTCAGGAGAGGATTTACTCGTGTAGCTTATTCCATTACTGAAAATTATGAGAGTTTAAATTGGTTAAATCCTGACACGGATTTTTTTTTTTTTTTCCCTAATCTCTGTTATTCCATAGGAAGCATGTTAATGAGTTAAAGGCAGTTAATAAAATGCGGCAAGCCAATATTTTTGGTAGCAGTTGCTCTCAAAGGAAATAGAGACATTTAATGTTTTCAACCTTTATGCATACTGATTTTTTTGCCTTCCTTTGTTCCTTACAGTTGAGTAAATTCCTGAAAAATATATATGGCTTAACAGCATTTGTGGCGTTGAATTGATTTCTTGCGCTGATAACATTTTAGCTACAGCTTAGATTGCGGTTTTAGCCTGTGTTTCAGCTGTAGGAGGTAATGAATTTTTTAATTGTGGACTCCAGGTTCGTGGTTTGGCTTTTTTTTTTTCCTGCAGGCTCTTACCAAAGTGTTTTTGAGCTGGCTCCCTAATGCTAAATGCTTTAATTCTTTGTGTTTGCTTTAGGATTTGGAAGAGCTTCGTTTGGACGAAATAAAATCTTCTGTTTTTTAAACAAAAGCAGCGGTGGCTGTGATTTCTTTTTGTGTTCCTAGCGAGCATCTCTTGCAAAGCCCCACAAATGAATATGCACGGACGCTGAGCGCTGTCATACAGTGTAATATATGACACGTGATAATACCTATTGACTCCGGGTGCCACAGATATCTCTGGTTTCACCTCTGCATGGAGAGAGAGTTCAGAGATAAACTCCAGTGCGGCAGAATGTGTTCCTGGGGACGCACGGTGCCGTCGGCTCCACCTCGTCCTGCTGCCGGCCGCTGCCTCCTGCTCTGGGCACGCGCGCGTCTGATGGGGTCCGACGTGATGATTTACGATGTAATGCTCTTGTCCTGCAGATAAGCCTCAAGTGAGGGTTTCGCAAAACTACCCGGTGCAAGGCCTGACGAGGGAAGGGGAGCCGCTGGAGCTGACGTGCGCAGCTTTCGGAAAGCCACAGTAAGTTGGGCGCTGCCCGAGGAGGGACCGCGGTGGCCGGCGGGGATGGATGGGGTCGTGCCGAGAAGCCCGCGGCCGTCGGTGGCCCCTGTGGCTATTGCAGACACTCAGTTGGCCATTCTCTGCTGGGAAGATGATGTAGCCGTGTGAAAATGAGAGATGCTTTCTGCATCAGCCACACAGTTAAGACACCTGTTGGGATTTGCATTTATTCCCATGTAGCGAGTGGCTGAGGGATTTGCACGCCAAGAGCTCCCAGGACAGCTCTGTGCAGGTGCCGAGGGGACGGGCGGTGGCGTGGGTGCTCCACACCCCTACACCTCTTCCCCAGGGAATGGCTTGGGTGGCAGCGGTCGCGATGAACCTGCAAAATCGGGGCCAGGGCTCTGCATGCCGGATCCTCACGAGGTGCCGGTACGCAGCAGTAAGGCTGGCACCAAAGCGGTGAGCACGTGTGAAAGTGGCGTGGATCCCTCAGGTAAGGCAGCCTGTCCTTCTGCTCGTGTTGACGATGTGATGGCTTTCCTCCCTTCTTGGTGCCTCATGTGGGTTTTATGAAACGCAGGTTTTATTCTTTCTCCTCCTCTTGCCATGCCCTTGAGGCTTTCTTATATAGTTCAAGAGGTTTATGCATCAGGAAAGTCCTGGCAAGGGAGGGTAGATTTTCTTCCACACTTTCATTGTTGTTCAGATTTAAGTTTTGTCAACTTTTTCTTTGTCGTTTGTTTTGGTTTGGTTTTTTGTTTTGTTTTTTAATACTTTTCCACTTGGATTTATGGCTGTCAAGTATTTACTATCCTTTTTTTGTTTTCATCATGTTCATAAGATTTCTGCAAACATCCCTGAAATCTCTCAGCACCTCCTTGGTAGCGTGCCCAGAGCTGCGGAGCTCCTGCAGGTGCCGCGGCGGAGCTGGAAGCCGCTTGGTTACTGGTTCTCCGCTGCGGGCAGGGAGAGGGCTGGGGTGCTGCCGTCCCCCACGGGAGCATTCCTTCTCTCCCAGGTTATTTTCTTGATTCCTGTTTCCCAGTTTCTTTGTTCGGCACGAGGCTGGTTCCTTCCCCGTGCGTTACAGACTGGCACGTCCCCCCCAGTCTGTTCCCTGCTCAGGGTCTGCCCCAGCCCCTTGGCATTCCTCCTCCCTGGGACAGCTGGGAATTTAATGGATAGGCTGCTTTATTTTTTTTTTTTTTTCTTCCAGGCTATGAATAAGACATACACATGTTAAATAGAAAGACACATCTCCACGGCGGCACGCCACTTAACCTTGCGGTGATGCCCGTAATTGTGCTGGGAATGCGCTTCTGTGGGTCACTTCCCCTGGGTCTCTCCAAGCATAGGAAAATAACGGGCTGCGTTGAGCTCAATGTTTTTAAGACAAATAGATTCATAAAATCCTTTACCGAGGTTTAAGATGAACCGGGATGTTTCTCCAGTTAAACAAAATGTTTTTCTCTGCAAAATTTGGCAATTTAAACCCTGGGGGAGGGAAGCTCAGAGAAAACCCAGAGAGGAGAGATTTCTGGTTTGCTGTTAACACGGCTATTCTGTATTAAACCCAAAAGGCCCCCTCCCAAGCCCCACAGCACTGGCTTCTAACAAACCCCCCTAACGGCATCAGGTTCGGGTTCCGTTAGCAGCGGGTGCGGGGGGAGGCTGGCGGCGGGGCTGGGGGAGAGGAGGAAGGCGTTCCTCTCCCTGGGCAGCTGAAACGTTCTCGGTGACCCAGCCACCACGGAGGGTACTAGGTCCATCGCATCACCTTGTTGTAAGGGTTCAGACTCGACAAAACTCTGCCCCACGCTGTCCAGATCCGCACTCAGAGCACCCTGGGGATGCACGCTTGGTCCATAGGCTCAGAGCTCTCAGGCTGGCCGAATTTATTAATTAATGATTAATTAACCACTAATGACCTTTCTTCCTGCTTGCAGTAGTGTTCTCAGAAAATTTAAGGTGTGGATACAGTTTCCTGTTGGGTTAAAATAAATTTAAATTGAGGAAGCCCGACAGCGTCTGGGCTTGAGTAGCACCAAAAAAAAAAAAAAGTATGTGTTATTTCTTTACAGTTTTTCTTGGTTTGGGCTTTCTGTCTGTGGATGAACTATTGAAGATGCCATCTTGACCATAGGAAAATAGTAATGTGATTGTTTCTTTTTCTCCCTCCTCTGTAGGCCTACGGACATGAGGTGGTTAAGAGTAGATGATGAGATGCCTCAACACGTTGTAGTGTCTGGTTCAAACCTTCTCATTAGTAACCTAAACAAAACAGATAATGGTACATACCGCTGTGAGGCTTCAAACGCGGTGGGGAAATCACATGCGGATTACATGCTGTTTGTATACGGTACGTGAGAAAAACCACCGTTCTTCTAGACTCATTTACACCTAATTGCGACATACCGCGCTCTGAACGCTGTCACGCGACTTTTGCTTAATGCAAGATTTACAGATAGCTCCTGACACGTCTGCCGGGCTGGGGCAGGGGATGGATAAACCCTTCCTGTTGCTTTTTCAAGTCCCGGGGTCGGTCAGCATCCGGCCAGCTCCGTCCTCCGGAGCTGAGCCCGTGGGCTGGCCGTGGCGCGGGGAGAACCGCGGAGTTCTCTGTCCTGACGGGTCTCCTAGGGCTTCTCCAGTAATGCCTCTTCCTTCCTGTAATACCTTCTCCCGTGTCTTCAGCAACGGTCCAGGGGGGTTTTCCAAGTCGTTCATTAGCAATTAAGTTACCGAAGGATCGGCCAGCATGCCCAGTAATTACAGACCAGTAAATAAATGGGAGGAATGAGGTGTCTTAAGCCGATCTGTGGCTGCTGAGCAGACGCTAAAACGTGCCTCAGCATCTTTTGAAAGCGCTGTTAAGTACCTCCTTTAATTCTGCAGCTCCCCGGCATTATTGTGCCATGGCTGTAAACCTCCTGCTCCCGTCTCGAGGCGCTGCACGTAATAAAGATTCAGCAGGCACCTGAGGAGCAATCCCCCCGTTTAATTGTGAGCCGTTCCCTTGGGCTGCACGTTTAAACTTTATCTCTTAGGAGGGGTTATTGTGTGGCTGGGCTGAGCTCGCGGCGGGTGCTGCCTGCTACTCGGACGGGCCAGGAGCTTGCTTTGGTTTGAAGTTCTTTCCATGCAACAGCCGCTTGAAGCTCCGCAGTCCAAGTCCTCCTGTTCTTACTCCGATCCAGAGAGCTAGCTGATGTCCCTATCCAAGTGCCACTTGCTTTAAGCCCAGTCTCAGAACCCTGCCCAGAGATTGAAGGGGATACCAAAAGCATAGCCTGGAGCTGAGTTTGCACAAACCTCCCACATCATTTTCCAGTGCCTGTAGCTCCAGAAGACCCCAGTGATGTCAGATACGCATTTACAGTTGTAATGCTCATGATATAAAAAAAATACCTTGTCTACACTGGTGTTTGAAGAAACAGCTATTGGAGAAGCAATAAAGAAGTTGAAACAGGAGGCAGGCGGTTCCCCAGGAGATTAAAACTATGGGAAGCTGCTCTCAGAAAGAGGTTGGGGGCGAGGTGGTGTCATTCCTCCTGTAGTTTTATGTTCCTGTTTTGGCCCCGGTGAGTTCTAGCTCAGCCATCACCGATGTTAGGGACTGGGGATTTACAGCTCAGAGTGACTCTGGCGCTTGTTAATTATTCTGCATTTTGGATGTGGGTGAGAACGAGACCACCCAGGAGTGGTGCTCCCCCTCGGGATCACATCCACAGGCGGAGACTCGGGCGGTGTTATTTTAAGGGAGATGTGGGTTCCAGTTACAGGGGATGTGAACCTGGGGACGACAGGCAGCTGGGAGATGTTTTGGCTGTATAGGGGAGGGCTTTTCGGGGTTCTGGTTTAACATCCCATCACGTCCAGTTTCTGCACGTTTGGGAATGTTCCGCTAGGATCCAGCACTCTGCACAGCCTAAGGAATCCTTTGAACCCTGGAGAAATCCAGAGGTGCTGGTGCGGGGGAGGCGGTTGGTCTGTGGCCATCATCGAAGCCTCCTGGCGCAGAGCTTTGCTCCGGTTGTCACCAAAGGAAGGTGCCGTGGTCCGGCACACGTCCCCGAGACACAGGGGTGATGCAGTCCCAGTCCCAGAGGGACACATCTGCAATTAAACATTTTTTACCTGCAAACAGCATCCAGCAGCCAGGGCTTGCACAAGAACCGCTGCTGAGCTGTGCTTACACGCTGCAGCGCACGTGCTGTCGGGGTGTCTCATCACGCTGTCACGGACCGAAAACACTGTTATTTTTAACATTTGTTTCACACTTTTCCTCCCCGTGGGAGCGGGCAGGCACGTTTGCTAGGAGTTTCTGGTGCAATTAGCACGCAGTCGGGCTTTTTGGCTTTTCTCGGCTGCATCGCATCGTCCCCGTGCAGTCGGGTGGGAGGCTGGGGGCTTTGCCCCCGGTTCTGCTGGGCATCAGCTGCTCCAGGTTCTGCTGCATCACGGGTGAGCCAAGTGCCCTGTCGTAAGCGTAGGGCGTGGGGTGCTTTGGAGGGAGGGGAAGGACAACAACTGCTCATATATAACCATAAATAAGCACTCCAGAGCCAAGCAAACTCCGTTTCCTAACTTTCGGGAAGTTGTATGGAATATCATAAAGGTGCAGCATATAATTAAAGTTCAGCTGTATTAATTAGGGAATCTGAGAGAGCTCGCTGGGAGATAAAAGGGGGTAGCAGATGCGGCGGTGATGAGAAGTTGACATGCTATAGAAGAAACCGAAAATCAAAAGCCCATGAAATGTTTCATGCTCTATTATTGCCAAATGAATCCCTAGTTCAAAGTCTCCCCGACTACTTAGCGCATTCAGTTTGATCATCTGGGCATTGATACGGTTTTTTTTCTTTTACGTCTTCCCATATCTACCTTCTCCTGCCCAGTAATTTTGATGGGGACGTGTCCCTGTATGAAGCACCAACAGCATTTGAGTCTCAGCAGGTCGAGTACCCCGGAGAAAGGGTTATCGGTCCCAAAGAGAAACATCCCCCTGTCCGGGCTTCTCCCTAACAATGCCCTAATAGCAGAAACAAGAGCGTTCAACCGAAATTGTCAGGAAAATACTGACTTTTTTTTTATTAAAAGATCTTGGTGAAGTTCTTCATACCTCGAAGCTGATATTTAGGAGTGATGTTCTCATGGCTTTGTATTGATGACTGTCTGAAGCAGTTCTAGCACCCTGCTGCCGGGTGTTCCTAGAGCAGGAGTAGGGAAGGGAATGGCCCTGGGAGGACAGGGACACGGACCCGAGTGCTGCTGGTATTCAGCCCGTTTGGTACAGCGGGGCCCCTCACACAAGCCTCCCGCCTGGATTTTCCCGTGTCTGTGTAGAAAACCTCCAGAGCACCACCCTGTCTCCCTTTGTACATGCAAACTCTTCCCTTTGTTACGTGGAAAGCCTGCAGTTTATTTTTCTTATGCCTCTCCCATTCCATGTCTCTCTCTCTCATTGACTAATTTATGCTGGGTGTTTGTTTTGGTTTTTTTTTATTTTCTTTTAGCATTGCAGAAGGGAAGGAGGGGGGGTTTCGGGACCGGGTTCTCCAGCTGGAGGAGGGCCGTGCGGAGCTCCTGCGCTGCGGGTTGAGCTCGGGGCCGCGTCCAGCTGCGAGGGTCTGGCCCCGTCCCTAAAGCCAGCTGGGTGCTCCCTGCCTGGCTTTGGGGGACCAAAGGCATCCCACAGCCCTGCCGCTTCTTAGCGTCCTTGTTTTGCTCTGACCGCAATTGATCGCTGTTGTGTTCTGCTTGGTTTTTCTTAATTTGCTTTTTTTTGTTATTTTCCTTTTTATATTTTATCCAGATCCCCCCACAACTATCCCTCCTCCCACAACAACCACCACCACTACCACCACCATCCCTACCACCATCACAGGTACGGTACCTTCATAACCATTGGAAATGTCCTGAATGTTGATTGTCTGTTGTGTATATAAGCAGAGCATGAAGCCTGGGGAAAAACAGCCAACAAATCATTTGCATTTTTTATTTTTTTTTATTTTTTCTCAAATACTCCCACCGTACTGCGTGAGTCCTGGTCCGGCAGTTCGAGGAGTGGGATCGGGGGTGCCTCTGACCCGTGGGCACTGCCGTGGCAGGAAAAGCTGTTTATTTACTTACTGCTGGATAATTTTGGGGGCTTCAAATGCAGGATGCAAACAGCCTTAGAGCTCAGTTAATGCAGGCAGTTAGCTCAGCCTCAGCCCCATCACTGTGGATTTCTGAGCAATTTCTACTTGGAAGCAGAAAGTTGGGTCTGTAGGAGTTTAATTCGCCTGACGGGAGTCGAGATGCCTCTTCTCGTGCCTGGGTGTCTGGTCTCTCTGTGATAAGCCCTCCGCTCACTCTCCCAGAGGAGTGAGTTACGCAGTCGGACACCATCCGTAGGACCCTTTTTGAGGAGCTGGCTTTTAGCATTCTGAGTTTTTCCCTGTCTTGCAAGAATCAAAGCAACCAGCTGATCATGAGACCCTTCTCTTGTCCGCGCATCCATCCCGTCTCCTCACTACACCCAGCTCTCCCCACTCGTAAGGCAGGCCCTTCTGATTTATGTGTCATCATTTGCATTGCCGTTGTCCTGCTCTTCTCTATTTCACCTGCTGCTTTTGCTTGCCTTTTTGGTTTGGTTTGAGGTAGAGGCAAGGAGCCGAAGGTGGGAGCCGACCCTGAATAGGTAATGGCAGAAGGTTTGCTGTTGCTGTGAGCCATCCCCGTGGAAACGCCTTCACCTTTTCTTTTGCTTTGGTGACGCTGCTCAGCTGCTCTAACTGTCCTGCTCAGGGTGCTTTGTGGCTTCTTTCCTTCTGAGGTTTTTGCATCCAAATCAGACTCTGCTGGCATGGACGAGCAGCCGAAGCCTTTCTCCCAACGTGCCTTAACGCGCACCGTGCGCGCCGTCTGCCATCCGCCATCCTGTCGTCCAACCTTCCCATTCTCTGTCTTCCTCCTTCCAGGTGCTTATAATCCCTCCAAACGCCCGGCACCCAAGCCTGGATGCTTGAGACGCTGCCGTGATGCTTTCCCATTTCCCGACGCGGTCGCTTTGTGTCAGTTCAGTTTTTAATTTCTTGCCTTAACCAGCTTTCATTTCCAAGTAGGTTCAGCCTCTGTTAAGCTCTCCTTAGGAGCGGGTGCAGAGAGACTCGGTGTGAAGGAACGTACGTACAGTTTTCCTTTGTTTTACGGCGATTTGTTAATGCTTTCAGTGCTTTTTGGAAGGCTAAAAGGAAGAATTTGTCTTGATGCTTGATTGGCCCCATTATGTTGATGTCAGTGCCTGCAGGCGTTGATGACTGTCCCGTTCCCGGAGCTGGTTGTCACTCCGCCTGTCCCCGGACCGGCCGGCAGCTGGTCCTCGCCTGCCACCTCGGGCTCCCTTCTTTGTGCAGGAATGTGTGCGTTCTCCAGCCAGCGACCAGGCAGGAGGAAGCTGCAGAAACTTTCGCTCTGTAATGCTGAAGAGACTTTGTAGCTGGAAAAAATTAGGATAAATTACCATAATCTCCAGAATTACATAGCATAGGGGTGTTGGAACACTTTTTGCCAGGCAAATGGGGTGAAAACCACTCCTTAGGAGGAGAAGGGCTGGAAATCTCTCTTATTTTGCCTTTCCCCCCCCCTCCGTGTTCCTTGTGTAATACTGGCCTATTTCGTGTCCCTTAAAACTATTTCTGAAAACAATTGTCTTGTTTTAATTAAAAAAGGAAAAAAAAGGGGGGAAGAGCCCCATGCCCTGAAGCAGTTTGTCCAAAGCCGGTGTTGTAGGTCTGCTGTCATCTCTGGTAGCTGCCCCTAGGAGATGATGTTCTTGGAAGTTGTCCTTTGGAGGTAGTGGGGATAGCTCATTCTGGATTCGTTTTCCCATACTAAAACTATCCAAGAGAACAGTTTGCTGCTCCATGGGCATGGTAAATTGCTGCTTGTGTGCAGGTTCCGATGACGGGCATCGTTTTTCCTTGCTCACGTGCAGTGTTTCTGCTCTGAATGCATTCGGACGTGGCATGCCAATGCAGCGGAGTTTATCTGAGCGATGGCAGACCCCGCTCAGCAGATCCCAGCCCGGGCGGGAGAGGACAGCTGATGGATGGGCAGGCATGGATGGAGCATGGTCGCTGCTCCCGGTGTTTGCATCCGTGCCTGGAGCAAAGGGTCCCGTAATCGGCGCCTCCTGCTCAACCCCTCCAAATCCTGTGTCGCTGCTGCCGTAGGCTTGACCTGCTCAGGCAGGCTGAGCCACTGCAGTGGTTTGACGGCAGGGAGGATCTCTGAAAAGCCAGCCTGCTGCTTTTTTTCCAGGAGAAGGCAAAGCTGAGCAGTGGTGAAGTTTGTGAAACAGCATGACCTTTAAAGCTTTTCCTCTGTCGCTGTTGCTTGACTTCAGTGTAGGTGCCTGAAAAGATTTCCTGCGTGACAATTCGATCTTTTTTCATGCATCCTCTGAGTGCATTGATATTCTGACCATCCCTTGGTGCTTCAGCTGTTATCGCTGGTGAGCCCTTCTTTATCAGCCCAAATTGTCCTTGTGGCTTTGTTCATTAAGATGTACAATATGATACAGCACAGCAAACTGCATCATTTGAATTACCCCTAGAGCCGCTCCTTGAAATGCTGCTTTTGGAGAGCTGTTGTTTCCCGGGAGATAAAGGTTGGTAAGAATAGCCCAGCCCTCGTCTTCGGGCTGGGCGCAGAGCGGAGCGCTTCAGCCTGCCTTTGCGAGCGGCGTTCTGCTGCTCTTGCTCAGCACGTACCCCTCCGCGCCCCGGGATCTGCAGCACTATTTGTACACGCAAATCGGCGTTGATCACCCTTTCCCTGCAGATGGATCCCGCAGGTGATGGAAAAATAAAAAAAAAGAGGAGGGCAGGTGTGATTCGGAGGAAACAGGCTTTGCAAAGTCGAGATGAGTTTCTATCTCACTGCTTGTTTTCAGCACAGCTGGTGCCTGCAGGGGAAATGCAGTTTTAGGGGTAGAGCAACAAGAGCCTCTTCAAGGGGGCATGAAGTCAGCTGGCTTCTCACCATGTTCTGGTAAAAGATAGCAGTGTCTGCTCCTTGTCAAATGGGGTCCTGCATCATGCTGTTGGTCTAGTTGGATGATCAGGACCTGAACAAAATCTTTAAGGAAATGCATTGGTGGAAAACAGTTCACGCTGGAGAAAATTGAGTTAATTTGATGGTCTGGCTTGCTTGCTTCCTTTCTCCGTCAAATGTTCTCATCCCTCTTTCTCCAGGGGATTGCCTGAGAGGTGCAGAGCCTGCAGGTCATGAGAGCTGGGCAGAGAACGATCACTTCACTGTTGAGGAGGATTTTTTTTATTCCAGAATTTGGTATTACTCCTGGTTTTGAATGGAAACCAAAGTTTTAGAACTTGGCTCCAACAACCAAGTCAGGAGCCCCACGGTGCCCTGCCCAGCTGTGCCCTGGAGCCAGCAGCTTTGTGCCAGCCCATCTTCAAGGTCTTCCCAGAACTGGCAGATTGGGAAGTGGAGGGCCACCCCCAAAGCCAGGGAGTCTGGAGACCAGTTCCAAAGACTTCCCTTGAGGTATTTAAAAGACATGTAGATGTGGCAATTAGGGATATGGTTCATTCATTGGTGGACTTGGCAGTGTTGGGTTAATGGTTGGACTCAATGATCTTAAAGGTCTTTTCTAACCTAAAATGATTCTATGATTCTGTGATCCTATGAGGTGTCTTGGCAAAGGTTTCGGAGGAGACCCGGGGGTGCGGCGTGCACATGCAGGTTCCCGGTGTTCCCAGCCTCGCGTTGCAGGGTGCTGACTCTGCAGGTCCCTGCTGCCCATCTTGCAGCGGTATTAGCGGCGAGCTGGCAGATTGCACTTTTAATGCCATTTTATACCGTATTTTAAACCCTGCTGATCCTTAGAGTGTGCGGTAGCAGGTGTGCTTGTGTTCGGGGGGCTGAGACTTTGCAGGCAGTGGGTTTTGCTTAAGAATTTTTGCATCTGAGCTGCCTAAGAAATACCAGTGAGCGGCCACCTGAGGCCATGTTGTAGCAGGTTTGCATGGGGTTTATTCCAACAGCAATCCGAAAAGGTGGTGGGTGGGAAGAGTGCAATAGGAGTCACTCTCCAAATGACTCAGCTCACCCTGCGGTGGGTCTGTGGGAGGCGCCGAGGCAGCGTGGGTGTTGCTGCAGCCCGTAGGCACCGTTGCATCTGCTGGGGTGGGGCTGCTGGGGGGTGTTCCCGCTGGTGCTCGCGCAGAGACACAGCCGATCCCAACACGGGAGGTGATGCTCGGTGCTCGGCTCCATCCCGAGCGTCTCCACGTGCCCACCACAGACAGGGAGAGGGGCAGCGCAGGGCGGGGGCCAGCAAGCTCGCAGCCTGTCTGGGTGCTTGGTGTCACCGTGCAGGGACGCAGCCCAGGGATTTGTTCCCCTCAATTATTTATTATTTAACTTTTGCTTTTCTCTGAAGCTCCTGCATGTCCCTGGGAAAATGTCAAGTTAATTTAAAGATGATGCTGCAGTCTTCTGACATTTTCATCCAGGATGTGACTGCATTAAAGGGAATAAAGGAAGAGAGAGTAGCTGACAGGGCTGGTACAGAAAATAAAGTAGAATAAAATGTGAGCTTTTAGTACCATGTCCAGTCTGTAGCAGACACGGTGCTGTCACACTTTGCCTTACCGGGGGTGATGCAGCTGCAGAGAAGCCATGGGCAGGTATGGTGCTCACATAGTTGGGATTGAAATAAAAGCAAAATCCCTGCAGATCTTCATGGAAAAACATGAAAAGGCGTAGCCAGAGCCGCAGCAGCAATTGTGGAATATTTTTGTTCTTGTCACACACAACTTCCATACGGATTGTGATTATTTTTGTGAAACATCTGGTC